ACTCTTAAAAAGTTCCCTTCTATGAACAAAAGCATTCATAACAAGTTTGGTGCAAAATATGAGGACAGGTCAACCCAACTAAAAACACAGGCGTGCTTATATTACAGAATGCTCCAAGGGAAGACTGATTACAGAGAGCAAGAAGAGGGATAGAAATACAAATTAAATGCCCAAAACAAGATCAAATGCATTTCAGCTTGAGCAGCTCACCAGAAAACACAGGAAGAGGGCAGATGAAAGACCAACTCTTTGAAACAAGACAAAATGAGGGGGGTTAACAAAATGAAAGAGAAAGGAACATTGCCACCAACACTTGTAATGCAGGGATACGTTTGCACGGTCCCTTTGAACAGCACAATTCTACAGGTTGCTGCGGACACAAGCAGGAGTTTCACATCTTAGAAAAACCAGAAAGCTGCACAGATTCCTCTCCCACTGAGTAAACAAAGCTGTGACCAAAGGGTTTTGTTGTTCTGATTTCAGATAGGCAGAAGACTTCGGTATTATTATTTTCCCACTTTGGTAGAAATGTTTTCTTTTTGCCAGTAAATAATCCAAAATATGCAGTCAAGGCAGTGGCCAAGCAAATCCCAACCCATTGCACAGCAGTACACCCACTGGAAAGGAATGATCAGCTTCACCAGCAAAAAAGTAGGTACCAACATCCTAGAACTGTCACTTTTGCTTTTTTGGCTTTTTTTGAACAATATTTTCTTATGAAAGAACTGCTATTTCTGTATTTTCTCAAGTACAGCCTCATGGCACGTAAATTTTTCTTCTGTAGACAAAAGTCTGGCTTTGGAACTGAGCTGCTTCCAGGTGCATCACAGAACAGACGTATGTGAATTTGCCGCTTGCGTCCTTTAATGAAGGTCAAAGCAGCACACGTACTTCAAAAACAAAGTTATAAAAATGTTAAGGAAAATCCATATGTACTTGAGCCATTTGCTGAGTTCTGTAATATTCCTTAAAAAATAAAATAAAAAATAAAAAAAATATAATTTTCCAGTACAACACATGCTGTACTTTATGTTTAAACTCAGCCACAATTTAAAGAAACCGACGGTCTTGGAAGAAGGGAGGAACCACAGCTTAAAAAAATAACCAGGATTTTCGTAGATTGTCTTGTTGGCTTTCAGTACAAGTCGTGATGACAGATTATTCACAAGCAAGCTCCCTAAGAGCATGGCCCAAAAAAAGACACCAAATTTAACCAGGAAATCTGCAGCGACTTACGTAAAATTTGGATCAGACTGTGGATCTGAATGCGCTTCTCTTTCACAAGTGAAGAATTACCCAATTGTTATACCTGATAACAACATTTAGGCAGGAATAAAGGAGACTGTAAACAGCAGCCAACAGCCACCTCTTATATTATCATTATCTTATCCGCATTAAATACCGTTCACTCTTATTTAACCTTCCCTAACTTTGTGGTTTATATATCAAGTACTCAGCTTCCAAGGAATAACAATAATAATAAACGCAACCACAAACTTTCTAGTATCCCATTCCCTTTTCTCCAATGCTCAGCAAAAAAGGCAAACAGCATTATTTCTGCACCAAACTGTTGAGTTTTAACATAGTCCCAACACATTCCCCATAAAGCAGGAACCAACCAGAATTTGGAAGCCAAGTGGCGCAGAGAGAAGTGCAAGCGTAGAAAGTAATTAAGGTCCCGCTCTTCCCCTCCCTACGCAAGGCACCGAAAATGAAATCAACATCCAAACTAATTAGTTTCCAGCAGAATATCAGTTTACTCGCTAACAGGAAGGTTGTCACTGCTCTTACCAAAAACTTCTAAACATACTATACAAAATCTTGTTTAAGCCACGGGACCAAGCCAGGCACATCCCAATGTGACCATATACGGTAACCAAAGTGAATCGGATGGCAACTTGACAGATTTGGAACAAATATTGCGTCGTGTGTCACTGAGTTAACACCAGCGGGAAAATATCAGATTGTATTACCTGTATCCGACCGGAGGTGTGGAGTGGTTGGAGCCACATTGCTGCAGGACATAGTCACCAAGGGTTAGTGACCCAAGATGGCATTCATCCCCGCGGAGGAGGGCTTTTATGCCCAGTATAGGGCTGTGCAGAGGGCAGGGAACGGAGCGACATGAGGGACGAGCCACTGGCCCTGCATCATTCTCCCAGGTTAAGGGCTGACGTAGCTGGGGCTGCTGGCAGAAAGGCTGGAGCTGTCACCCTGTGCCTCGGCTGCCAGCCAGGAGGGATATTCCCCCCCCGAGAGCAGGTTATGTGCTCAAATGGTGGGTTTTGTGCACACAGAAGTTCCCGTGTTCACCCAGTAGGGAATGGAGGAGTGTGGAGGTTCACCCAAACAGCTCCCAGGGAGCAACCACTGAGTACAGGCTCCTTCCAGAGGGTCCTCAGACTGGATTAAGATTGGTCTCTGGGGCATTTATTCCAAATTAACTATTTTGGAAGGGTTATTCCAGTGTAGACAAGCCCCTAGCCAAAGTCTTTAAATTTCAGTACTGGAAAATATGGGTTCAGACCTCGACAAAACTACCTCATCCTTCATCCTTTCAGACAGAATAAGTTCCACACCCGATCCTCTAAAATAAAGCCCTGCTCTTGATACTTATCTTGCTGCTTTCTTAAGAGTTTATATTGCTTACCTGAGAAATCCCCTATTTCACTATTTTGTGTTTGGGTGATGAGACACAACAGGTCGCAAGTGTGCAAGAAGTGACAGAGCCAGAGGGCACAGCTCCCAACCTGGGAAAAAGCTGCAGCATTGGCCCTATCAGGCAGCCCTGTGGGTTCCTTCACCTTAAAAGGCACCACCTAAATAAGGAGGTAAAAATACTGTAAGGCAACATTAATGCAAGATTGCAGATGAGCTGCCAGGGAATAGCAAGGCTGCGTTGCGTGGGCAACTTACCTCTGCCCCCTTGTGCAAATGCACTTTGGTACAGCCCTTACCCAATGCAGTGCACACAAACAACATCCTAATTCCACTAAAATCTCCTCTTGCCTAATAAAAGAGAAGGGCCAATGCTTTCAGTCAGAGCCTTCTTAGCCACCTTCCTCACCTGAGCACATCTTGACAACTCAGGTTAGGAAACGCTGGCACACTTTGTGCCACACATGTAAAATTTGCAATTGGGACAGGGCTACTAAAGGCTGTTTGGCCAAAACAAAGAGCTCATCTCCCTCCAGATAAAAATCTCAGGCTGAAAAACGATCGATAGACTCAAGCAGGTGACACCTACCCACCACCAAACGCACCACATGATACATTTGGAAAAAATCTGTGGGCACATTCATGGTAGGACACGTTTTTACAAGAATCTGAAGTTATCCCAAAGTAAACAACCGATGATCAGTGATAATCACCTGACCAAAATGCGGCTGCAATGTGTCAGAGATGTGCCACCTCTGCTCATGTGCACGTTTGATCCTTCATCTGCACCCATCGCCCTCTGAATACTCAGTTTCAAAGAGAGGCAGAGCAGGACTGTAATGGTAGGGCCATGGCTCTGTTTTTACCACATTTACACTTCTTTCTTCTCTTCCTCCCTCATTACAGACAACGAGTGAATGATGTTTTTCATGGGTTTGGCCCTGGATTTATACTCTATTTCATTTTAAACAACCCACACCAACTCTCCATCCACACACTAGATGGTTTTTCCAGCTCTGAATAGAACGAGTTCAACAAACCCAATCACTATTGTGACCCTGTTAATGTTGCCTTAAAAATAAAAACCTTTTCCATAGGAAAAACAATGATGTTCTGAAATTAACGCTGTTAATTATCTGGCTCTTCTTCACACGACAGCAGCCCGCAGTCAATCGCACCACGTTTTCCAGAGGCAATAAAAGAATACGAGCAAGACAAGTGCAAACAGCATCGAAACGGGCTGCCAGGAAAGCAGCCGACACTCCGCTCACAACAGAGACAAAACTCCTTTTGTCTTCTTCTGCCCACTTCAGATTTTTTTCGGAACTCCACCAGCTCCTCAAGTCTATGGCAATAACCTACATCCATGAGGCCGTTCTTATTTCATACGCCACTGCCTACAACTTCAACGGAGTCTACATTATGGACCTGGCTGGGAACTCAGTCTGCAGGGCTCTGAGCCTATATGCACTGTTTTCTTTTTCATTCAGCTTCCAGCTGATCATTTTATAGTGCTTCTGCCTCCATAAAGTATTTGCTTGGGAGCCAACACGAAGATGGAAAAAAAAGCAAAGCACTAATTTGAGCCTTGGGTTTGTAGAGCAATGCTCCCTCCCCATCCCTTTGGTTTTATTTTTGGCAAATTATGGCCCCAATGAAGCACAAGTTTTAAGATCTTTTCATTGCATCAGGTGATTTAAAGCTCTTTCACCAATTCATGCAACTCCAGTACTCATTCACTCAACTCCAATACTCATCTGCACAACTCCAATCCTCTTGGGACGTGCAGCTGAAGCAATCTACATCCTAAAGCCACGCACCCATTCTGCTGGAACAATGCAACCCCTCCTTTGTCAGCGGTGGTTTCCCATTCAGACAGCACCCACCAAGGTATGGGGCAGGGAAGAAGGCAGCCTTCTCTGCTCTGACCCCACACTCGAGTTAAGGCACCTTCCCACTCCCAGGTCAATGCATTTGGCAACCTGTGCATTGAAACCCTACTGACTGCCGGAGCCCCAGTTCTTAAATGTTCTCACTATCAGGAGCTGTCATTTGTCTGTCACCAGGAAGGTTAATGGATGCGTTTGTTACATTTGCTGGTGGGAATATACGGCGCAGAGGCTGGGGGGGATTACAAGAGGGGAGAGGTATTTCTGATCCACGGAGGAATGCAGCTGCTTTTCTTTAAAATCAAATGGGATGCATGAGGAAAGTCTCATGCGAGTCCACCTGCGACCACAGCACCAAATCCACGCTGCGCCCAGCAGCACCAAGAGGCAGCAATGGAGCACGTGTGCACGGCAGGGCAGCAAGCAGGAGGGCTCGAGCTGCTCGGTCCTTACCTCTCGCTGAGTCCGAGAGCGCGACGATCCCTGCGAGCAGGAGCGCCAGCTGCAATCCCATGGTGAAAAGCGGATCCCTGTGAGCTGTACGAGCTGCCGTCCTCGGAGCTGCAGGAAAGGGAGCGGAGCAATTACGGGGGGAAATGAGCAAACAGCCCACAAGTTTGTACAGTTTTAAGGGTTGTTGCAGAAGCGCAAGAGCAGGAAGAGTAAACGCAACAGCAGCGTGTTTGTAATTCATTCCTTGGCGCTCAGCAAGCAAAACTTTGCCCTCCGCTCTGCTTCAGCGTGATATAAATCAGGGACCCACTGAGGCCAGCACGCTGCTCTAAGTTTACAGTTAATGCATAATTCTCCGGTATCCCGCACAGAACCAGTCTGGAAGGCAAAATGCGAGCAAAAGCGGCCGTAAACCAAGATTTCAGGTTAACAATTTGCGGAGGAACTCGGATGAGAGAGAGGGGGAGCGCTGCCTCCACAGCCCAACAGACTCCGTTCACCGGCCCCGCTTTGCCCCGGGAACACGCGCTCCTCCAGCACGGATCATCGCTTTCTAAGCATCGCTTTCCTATTTTCCAACCCCCCCACTTATTTCCTTGAGTACCAGAGGTGTGTCCCAAAGCCAAACTCCATGAAACCCACCACCCTCGGGCGATGCCCTCGCAGCGATACGCCGGGGCAGATCGGCTTGACGCTCGTTACGCCCCGCTCCCTCACACTCTCACTTTCTAAGCACTGTCTGAATTCCTCACCCTCGTGAAGCTCTCGCTGAGACACCTCAGTGCCCCCGGGATGCACAACGCACCGCATCCAACCATCGCCTGCACCATAGGGAGCTCGTAGAGAAGGGTTACGGGGAGGAGGGGTGAGGGGGCAAGAGGGGAAGAGTGAAAGCAAAAATTAGGAGCCGGGGGCGCACGGGGAATGATGCCGCCAGGTGCGCCTGTAGCCCAGGCGGGGACGTCCCAACCCACCCTGCTCCATGGGGGGGTCCCCACTTACCTTGGCCGCTGCCGGCTCTCAGCAGCGAGCGCTGCCTCCCATCCCCGCAGCTCTCCGTTTCATGCCCTCCTGCCGCGGCCCCCGGCCGGGCTCTCCGCCGCCGCCCTCTACCTCATCGTACCCCCCCGGGACCGGGGGCTCTTTGGGTTGAGCCCTCCCGAGCGGACACGGCACCCCCGGATCGGTTTGCCACACCGGTGAGAGGGGTTAAAGGGAGAGAAGCGGGAGACGGGGTGGGGAAGAGGGGGGGTTATAATTCTCACTGCTTCTCGGGGTGGGGTGAGTGTATGTGTGTGTGTGCGTGCGAGGAGGGACAGCGGGGACCTGCCGGAGCCCCGGGGGCTGCCGCCGCGGGATGCCCGGTGGTGCCGTCCCGAGCCGGAATCCCGTTTAAGGAGAGATGGGAGGAGGGGAAAGGGGTTGGGGAGTCGGGGCGAGAAGGAGGAAAAGGGGGAGGGGAAGGGGGGGCGAAGAGAAACGGGCGATCGAGCAACTTTCCCTGCAGGGCTTTGTGGCGGCGGGGGCCGAGCCGAGGAGGGCGGCCCGGCACCGCCCAGCTCCAAACTTCGCTCCAATCCCCGGCAGCCCCCGCCCTCCCCGCCGCTCCCCTTAACCCTTAGCGGCGAGGCGAGCGCCCCGCGGTCCCCGAACCACGTCCTGGAGCTTCCGAGTTCTCTCCCGGCTCCGCGCATCCCCGCGGCCCCACCGTGCGCAACAGCCACGGGCACCGCGGGTGGGCAGCCCCATAGGGGCAGCAGGGAAGCGGCGAGGGGACGTTGGGCCACGTGCGCCCATAGGTTGCGCGTCCAACTCAGCGCTCGGGTACGGTTCGTCTCGGGAAGAGTTCAAACGAGCTGGAAAATGGGCTGTTGGGATGTCTTTTCTTGAGATGAGCTGCTACAATTCGGCTCCTAACATTTCGGGTTGTATATTAGGAAAAAAAAACTCCTCCGAGTGTGGTGATGCATTATCACTGGCTGCCCAAAGGGGTGGGGGGGCGGGGGGGGAGGGGGTCACTCACTGAAGCTATTCAAGAACCGTGGAGGTGTGGCACTGAGGGACACAGCTCAGTGGGCAATACTGGTGATTTCCTAAACCTGTGTTGCCTAAACAGCTCCCCTTTTGTATCTGGAGAGAGAGAAACGTTGTTGACATTATTTAGAATCTTAGAACCTTTTAAGCTGGAAGAGGTTCCTGAAGGCCTTCTAGTTCAACTCTCCTGCAGTGACCAGGGACACCTACAGCTCCATCAGGTGCTCAGAGCCCCATCCAGCCTGACCTTGAATATCCCCAGGGATTGGGCATCCACCACATCTCTGGGCAGCCTGTGCCCGTCCCTCACTACCCCCACTCTAAAAGCCTTATTCCTTCTATCTTACATCTCCCCTCTTTTAGTTTGAAACCATTTCCCCTTGTCCCATCACAAGAGACCCTGCTGAAGAGCCCTGTCCCCTTCTTTCTTATAGGCCCCCTTTAGATATTGAAAGGCTGCTATCAGGGCTCTCAGATTTACCAGATCTCGTTTGCTGTGCTCCAGCACAAAGGCCTCTCCCAAGACAAAGCTATCTCAGTGCCCAATGTGGTTTGCAGCCAGAGAATCCCTACAGCCAGGCAGGGAAACAGCCCAAACCCACCTTATCTGTTTTGTTAGGATTATGAAATCACACCCTCTGTTATTGTTGTTACTAAATGCCTTTACTCAGCAGTTCCAGACAGCATTAAATCTGGATATACATAATCAATGTGAAAAACACTCAAGACTAAACATATAAACCCCCTGAGTCAGAAACAAACAAAGTGGCTGACAATATCATTTTTATTTATTTTACATATTTTTACCATCATTTTTATTATTGAAGTTCATCATATGAGAAATCCCAGATGGACTGCTCCTCATGTCAGGCAATAACTTCAGCTTCATTGACTTCAAAGCAGCGTTGACTGAGTCAAACCTCCAGGACTTGACCTACATGGTTGTGTTTGTGCCATGGGTCCTGATAAAGTTGTTTTAAGTTGCACAAGATGAGATCTGCAACTAGAGGATGATCTGTTGAACACTTCTTGGTAACATTTCCTGGCCGTTTTACTGTGAAGGAGGCAAGGTTTTTGTCCCAAGGACATCACCATTTATTATCTGGTCCTAAAATATTTACACAACATTCTGTCCCCATGCACACTGAAGTCTAAAGCATTTTCAGCTTGGAGGAAAAGTAACTATGGATGAATCCACTCCTATGTCCTCATTTTCTTATTGAAAAGTTTCATGTGTTCTCACATCTCCTGGTCTCCCAGTGCATCCCAACCTGTCTAGTGCCTGATTTAGTGCGTGGCAACTCTGCCCAAGGCAGGGGGTTGGAACTAGAAGATCTCTGAGGTCCCTTCCAACCCAAGCCATTCTATGGTTCTGTGATCCTACAATCAATAAAACAGCAGAATGCCTCCTGCAGCCTTTCCCATTGGGACGTTCTGAGAGATGCAGTATAGGTAGACCACAAGATTTTCAAAAGCATCCATGTACCTGAAGGTTCCCCTTAGGCCTCCATCTTTGGGCATCCAGAAACTTTTTAAGGATCTGACCATAACAAATGCTGTAAAGGGACATTCACTGTAAAGAGACAGGGAACAAAGCCCACAGTTTACAAACCCCAGGCTAAAATAACCAGGGAACCACCCCTACTGACTCCCAGATGTCTGTATATTTCTTACTTTCTTGTTCAGAGCTTTGGGAGTGCCCCAAAGACAGCCTGAAACCAGGCCACAAGCTTCATCCATCTTTTTCACTATACAGCTGTAGAGAAATAAATGTAAAACATTGATACAACAAAAATAATTAATATTCCTGAAACAGCTCCTACTTTATCAGAAACAAAATCTCATGCCATTTTCCCAACACTTCCACCTAAATAAGGAAACATGCCAAGCTCTGTTTTTCTGGGCTGGCTGTATTTTGCAGGATGATTGATTGGCTGAAATTCAACAGCCCTGCTTTGCTCCCGCACCCCACAGTCAGCTGTGGGAAAAGTGGAGGCAAACAGACCCAAATGCTAAGCAACCAAGGATGTTTCTCCACATGGCTCAAGGAGCAGCTAACAGTCCATCTGTATCCCACTTGTCCCCAAAGCCTTGTTGCTAGAATGTGGTTGTCCAGACTTGTGATGGTCTAGTGAATGTACATCCCCATAATGACTTTCCTTCTGTCTCTGAAGTTGTGGCTTGGTGTTTTTCCAGCTTTCTTGCTTCTTTTCTCCCAGGTGCTGCTCACCTCCATCGTTACAGATCCCCATTTTTTCTTCACTTTCCATCTCAGCTATTTTGCCTCTTTTTCTTTTTTTTTTCCGACAGAAAATATGGGAGACACATCTGCTCTGGGTTGTAATTCCTCACCTGCTGTTTGTGGATTTCTTCAAACTGCAGGACAGGTCCATGAAATGGGCCAGCACATGGGCTGCTGTGTTTATTCAAGTACCTTTGGGCTAGGGCCACTAAGGCTACTTGGGCTGGCACTGATGTTTTGATGGAGCATAACATTTGGTGGCACAGGTCCATGGCATGGAGGGTCCATGGAATGGGGCACAGCTGATGAGCACAAGAAGGTGAGGAAAGGAAGGGCACAGTCAGCATTAAGAGCATTCCCGTGACCTAAACCTAACCCTCTCTGGTTATCAATTGCGTGGAGAATGTCCCAGATGAGCAACCAAGGAGCCCAGCACACAGCTTCCCATCTGCACACTGGGCAAGCCAAGAAACATGGCACCACCTTATATAGATATCTGTATAGTTATTTAACTATAACTATGTTGTGTAACTACAGATAATCTATGGACTTCTACAGCTCCATAGATGCTTTTACCTGCAGGCTTTGGAGATCACCCCAAAGTTCTAGACCTTCTACTCGGCTGCTCAGGTGAGACTCTTCAGACCCCAGAAACTGAGATGAGTTTTGTCATAGCCACTGTGCTAAGTCACTTGGATCTACAGATAAATTGTCATAGTTAAAGATGAAGTGTGTTTTATGAAGAAAGCAATGTTTTCTGAGAGTTGAATCATCATCTGCTCTATATGTGGTAGCTAAGGTCTGTCAGTAACTTAGATATATTCAGAGAAGAGGTACATGCAGAAGGAAAGATGGACTGGGATTATATGGTCATGAAAACTATATTTTTTTCTTATTAAAAAATGGCACTTCTCCCCACATATATGCTTATTCCCTTAGAATAAGCTTTGTTTTAAACAGTGTTGCAAGGAAATGAAATGGCCTGTTATATGCAGAAGATTAAATTTTATATGGACGCCATGGTCTGGCATAGAAGAAAAAGTGATGAAATGATGCTCAGAGTCCCGTCAACCAAATGTGATGCTTGGAGGTTATATTGCTCTCCTCTTCCTCAGGGGCTGTAGTTTCAGGGGAAGCTTAGTAGACCCAACAAAACGTATTCTCCTCCAGCAAGATTTTCTTACTTTCCCCCTAATGCCCACAGCAAACCATTTTCACACACCCAGAAGGTGTTCTGGATGAAGAATATGGTATAAAAACCCCATGGGAGATCAGGTTGCCTTTTTTTCTGGAAGAGCTATGATCCTTCTGCTTTCTTTGAATGGATCTCATTCTTCTTTCTCATATCCCTTTGTATCACTGTGAGCAATTTATTTTATGCTCTATACTTTTTTCCCTCTTAAACATTTGCAGGCAGCTTCCTTACTCAGTGCTTGGTCTAGCTACAAGTAGTTAAAGTTTCCAAATGTTCTCCATAAACACATCCTTCCTCAGGCCCCTTATCCTTTATATCACTCAGCATGGGTTTGCTTGAAGTTGGCCTGACACTGATATATGAAGGATTTGATTTTGCCTTCCTTTTACATCTGGCTATTACAGCAATAATCCCCTTGGAGCCATTGGAATCGCTGTAAGTGAGAAAAAAACTGATCAAGCCAACAATCTGTGAGCAACTACATCTTCCAGGTATCTGAGCCGAAGACATTGAACATGCATCCCTGAGCCTAAATCACAAAATCATAGAATCATTAAGGCTGGAAAAGATCTCCAAAGTAATCTAGTCCAACCCTGAACCATCCCCACCATGCCCGCTAACCGTGTTTCTCAGTGCCACATCTCCAAGTTTCTTGAACACCTCCAAGGGACAATGACTCCACTGCTTCCATGGGCAGCCTGTGCCAATAAACATCTCATCTGGGGATGTGACCAGGGTTTTGGAGGCCTAAATCTCCTCTCAGTGCTCCTTCACACCATCCTGCTGCACAAGGTTTAATTGTAACCGCTGATGCTGGGTTTGTGTCCTCCAGATGTAGCAAACATGAAGGGAGTGATGCAAAAAATAAACAGAAATAAGCAAAAAATTTTAAAAGCCCAAGATGGACAGAGTGAAAAACAAAAATGTCAAGACTTAATTGTTGCACAGATGTGAAGAATGTTAAGGGAAACTGTTTGGGGATTTATGTTC